AAAGTTCATGTTTTGCAAATGCTGACAATATGACTACAAAAACGGTCTTATAAATATTTAAGATACCATACTTTCATTTATATAATCTTAATCAGGGTTGGGGTCAATTACTTGAAAATGTAACTAAATACTTTCAAATACATTGATAATTTTATCATTTACTTGCAATTACAATTAAATTGATTTTTAACAAATGTAATTAAATACTCCCAATTACTTTGAAGAATGTAATTAAATATTTATCAATTACTTTAGTTTTATTCCTACAAATTTTGAAGAACAAATAAATGGATATGTTGAAACAGCAATATTGTTAAATTCGACCTTTCCTATTGCCCTGGGCAGTGTGTTTATGCTGTATAAAAATTATAAGCATTTAATTGTTGAATAAACACAAACTCAACAGTACCGGTGTGCATCATTGTAAAACACCTTTTTTAATACTTAACTTGAAAAATAAAATATTTGAAATGTAATTTAAATGTATTTGAAAAAAAAATGACATGTAATTGAAAGCAAACTCAATTACAAATACTTTCAATTACTTCTAAAAATGTTTTTAATTTCAGTAAATAACAATCGCTCATTTTAATTACCCCATCCCTACTCCGAATAAGAGAAAATGTCGAAGTTTTTAAAAAGTGTAAAATAATCATAATAAATTCTCAGAAGTAGAGTATTGCTAAATTGAAAATAAGTTTTAAAGAATAAAATGGGAGAAAGATATTTTCTTTTAAACAAGATGATATGGTCTAGAACTTGTAAATATTTTGTAAGAGGTATATTTTTAGCCAAACCTAAATGACAATTCTTGAAATTTTAAAACTTAAATTATTCAATCTAACAGGATAAGGGAAAAGAGTTGATTTAATGAAACGTATTTTGGCGACATTTACAACTGTGTAAATATAATATTGAAAAAATAAATGATTATATGCAGATAATTGAGATATAATTCTCTAGTATGTGGAATATAATTGTTATAATTTTGAGGCGAAATAAAAATAATGTGTACATATGGACAGACAAGATTATGATTATTATATAAGTAAGAATAATTATTATAATTTTGAGGCGAAATAAAATAATGTGTGTAGACAGCGACTGACAAGATTATATTTTGGAGGCGAAACATTATAATGTGTCCACATTGACTGGTAAGATTATAATTGTGAAGTGTAAATAATTATAATTTTAGGAGAAAATAAAAATAATGTGTACACGTTTGACAGACAAGATTATAATTGTTGCAGGAAAAAATAATAATGTTGTCAAAAAAGCAAGATTTTTATTTTTGGAAGAGATAATTATTTTTGGTATACTAGTAATTATATAGGAAAAAATAATAATAATGTGGGGGTACCCTACGGCTTTCCATACTCTAGAATAGAAAATACGAAAAATATTGTCTTGTATTTAACATCATCATCATCATAATGAAAATATAGATAATACAATATGATGATATTAGTATTGCATGCATTTAACGAGCATGTTGACTAAGTTTTCACGACTATTTACCATGAAAAGACACCGAATGACAAAACGTTATAACCGATGACGGATATTGGAAATCTTTTTCTCGAACTAAAAGAAACAAAACAATCTAAGAAAATGTCATTTTAAACAAAGCAAAAGTTATATGCTCACGAAGGGATAAACAATTAAGAAATCCTTATTGGCTTTTATCATTATCATTGGGGGGGGGGGGGAGGCATTGGAATAATCACGATATCGTACACCATCTCTATTCTTTAGCTAATACAGCTGTATACATGTATATTTTCCTACCGTCTTAAGAAGGGGTTTTTCGTATGGGCAAATTCCACAACATTGAGGCATGCAAATTTAGCAAGGAAAATAACAAAAACATCAGAGCTAACCGTAATTAGCACACAGCTGTAGAATGATATAAAGCAATGCTGATGTATGTTTTGTATTTTTTAATCTATGTATTTTTTGTAATATATATATATATATATATATATATATATATATATATATATATATATATATATATATATATATATATATATATATATATATATATATATATATATATATATATATATATATATATATATATTAGGGATGTCAACGAATAGTCGACTATTCGACTATCAGTCGAATGGACCGACGATCGAATAATGAAACGACATTCGAATATTATTTTAACTAAATAAATGCAATAAATGAGTGATAGATGAGATGGAATTCTCATCAAAAAATGAGAAAAAGTCTTTTCTCATAGACAGTCGATAATTTTCCTCAACAAAAACGGTAGATTTTCCATGTACGTATAGAAAGTACAGCAATTATAAATGCTTCACTACTGCGAGAATTAATTGTCAGTAACTGTCTGTGTTGTTTTTGTAATAAATTAACCAATATAATGGGCTTTGTTTGTAAAATTATTCATTGGACAATTATCTTTTGTTATTTTAAGTTTGCTCAAATGCAAGGAATAAACCTGTTTTGATACATCGATAATTATTAAAACAATGCGCTTACATTTTAAACTGTTGGAGGACATTTTGATAGCCCCCCCCCCCCTCCATTTTTTTTCAAAATAAACTTTAAAAAATATCGGCTGGCAATTTTTTAACTTTTACTTAATAAAAAAAAATGACCGCATGTACAGGCCGATTTTTGAATTCTATTTATGGGGAAATAATAAATTTTGGAGAATTAGGTTTCTAAATTTATTTCATAGAATCATGCTATCCACGCGTTACGTTGCATTAATTTTGATGTTACTTTTTAAATAGATTTAAGTAAAAAGGTTTCTGAGTATGTACCAATGAAGTATGAAATAAAATTTTATTTTCAGAAAATGTTCCGAATATTCGACTATCGTTCGAATAATGCAATCGAATGATCGACTAAGGAAAATAAATATTTTGACATCCCTAATATATATATATATATATATATATATATATATATATATATATATATATATATATATATATATATATATATATATATATATATATATATATATATATGACTGCCGTCATGAGAAAAGGGCCCTTAAGGTAAAATTTCACAAATTGACTTTTTTGTAAATTTTGATAGCCTGACTCTTTCTGAATGCAAATATACATCAATTTTTGAAATATCTCACTTTTTCAGTATTTTATGAGCATTTTAGTAAGGCCGCTTCAAAAGAACGTTGACGTCACTTACTTAAAACGTAATGACGTCGCAAGCGTCAAATTCAGTTTCCAAACTTTCTTTGAAAAACTACATTTTTTAAATAACCTTAATCGTTTTGACACATATAAACTTGAGATTTGTTTTTCTTCCAAGCAACTAGTATATAATTATTCATGAGGGAAGTTGCATGCTATTTTCAACTATATTAGAGTAGATCTAGTAATTTCATAAAGAGGTGGGGGGTGGGGGGTCGATGTTCCAGAAGGGCACCTCGTGCGATTAAAGTGGGACATCCCCTCGCGAAAAAGCACATCGATCTCGATATAAAAAAAATATTTTCGGATATATTTATCTCTATAACTTAGTTACTAAGGGATAATAACACCTCATGTATTTCCTGTATTACCGAAGGATTCTAATGGGAAACAAATTCAGAAACGCCATGTTGTGTAAACTTTTTTTTTAAGTATCATAAAGAAATCATAATTAATAAAAGAAAATCTTTTCACTACTTCCAAGGGGATTTTTTATTTATTTATTTTTTTTGAATACTTTGATAAAAATGTTTTAATTATTAAGTTTCCTTTGTTTATACAATTCAGTTTCTTCGCCTGTCTTAATGATGGAGTAGAAACATAACAAAAAGGCACATAATGATGTCGAAGGACTGATTTATGAACTTTATTCCGTTCATGAAAATTTAATTTTTTGGTCAACTTCACACTTAAAAGCGGTTATAAATGTTTCTGTACTTTGTTTATTTTTTTTATTTTGATGCACCTGTGCGCTATTAAAATCAAACACACGATTCTGTTCGAAGCGTCGTTATTGTAAAAAAAAAAGACGGCTAAGAAAACAATAAACATATTGTAAAAGTAGAAAAAAAACTTAACGCTACTGCTGCATCACTTGAACATAACAATTATCGTTCATCATTTCTTAAAAAGGCCGCTAATCTAAAAAAAAAAACCCATTATGATTTATGTATATATTGTAAAGCTTGATCAAAGAGATGGTTGTTAGGCTATTGGCTCTTATCTATCTATCTATCTATCTATCTATCTATCTATATATATATATATATATATATATATATATATATATATATATATATATATATATATATATATATATATATATATATATATATATATATATATATATATATATATATATATATATACGAGGGGTTATCAAAAAGTTCGTGGACTGATGCGATAGAATTAATACTATGTAGTTGTTGATTACAAAATTTGCAGGGAACATAAAACAACTATATATATATACACATTACCATAAGTCAAGTCTGAGGCATGTGAACTGTTTTATGATAAATTATGCAAAAAAATATGTATTTTTTCCCACTCTGAGTCAACTTTATTATGTTTTTTTATGGTCTTTCTTTCTTAATTAAATGTTTGAGCATGTTATCTTTTGGATATCTTCACATTTCATCGATGCAAATCTAAACACAAATATGTTTTAAATTACTTTTTTTTTTGAAAATCGATTCAATGGTCATACATGTTCATTGAATGCGAATATTAAATTCTTATGTTTTGTCATCAGAAAGAATTTAATTTACATGTCATCTTCAACTTTTATCATTTCTAGGATATTTTTAAGGAAACATTCGCAATTCTTCAAACAAGTTATGCTTAATTCCGACCGATACGAAATGGGTATCACGAAGATTTAAAAGAATGTAATAATTTGGTTTACTGAAACGGATTTCTTAAGCTAGGTCCACTTTCATTAGAAATTAAAGACATTCATTTTAAAATTCTGTCAATGACATTGGATGTTTAATGATTTTTTTTCTTGTTTTATTTTCTAGCTACAGTGTACAATAGAGTGGAGATGTTTCTATTTTTGAGTATCCTGTTACTTCTGTTATCCAGTGTTCAAACACAGATTTCACCGATACAGTTTTGTCCTCCAGTAAGTTTATTTTTTTTATATATAAATTCTTCATTTAAATCTTTATTTGTAATTCTGCATATACGATAGAGACTAATTATACCATTTTAATTATGATATAATGAGACAAATCTCTGGATTGTTTTCTTAGTTTTCGATGCAAAATTGTCCTTTAGGACAACGTTGCGAGAGTGGAGTGTGTCAGACAGTTGGTAAGTACATTTATTTAACAATTGAGAATGTCACATTTAAGTGGCTGGAATAAATTTGACTACTAATGTTTCTGTATATCTTATAAATACATATGGCTCACGGCATGTGTGATCGTTATTTGAACACACTTTTGTTTTACATATGAGTTATTTAATACATACTGTACTATAATTAACCAATTCTGTATTACTCAAAATATAAAATTTATGAATGAATTTAAAGCATTTTAAGACTCATTAAACTGTATAAAATCTCAAATAACCTTCTCTATCAAATTGTCAAAATGTGGTTCAATTTTATTTCTCTTCTTTTTAGCTCTACTGGTCAGAGACCAGAAGAGCTTATGCGATAGTAAGTTGTCCGTCGTCCGTCCGTCTGTCTGTCTGTCTGTCTGTAAACAATTTTTCAAAATGCTACTACTCCTACAGTTTTAGTCTGATTTCAGTATAATTTGGCACACAAGGAGACTACACTAAGATACATAATTTATTGCATATGTTTTTGATTTCGATTAACGGTGTTGCCATGGTTTTCTAAAAATAGAAATTTCTGTGAAGTTCCTTTAAAACGTTACTCCTCCTACAGTTTTGGTCCGATTTCAATATAAATTGGAACACAAGTAGACTGCACTATCATAAATAACTTGATGCATCGGTTTTTTATTTTGATGAACGTTGTTGCCATGGTTACTAAAAAAAGAAATTTCTGTGAAATTCTTTTAAAACGCTGTTCCTCCTACAGTTTTGGTCTGATTTTAATATAACTTGGCACACAAGTGGACTTTACTTTGATACATGATATAGTGCATCGTTTTTTGATTTTGATGAAAGGTGTTGCCATGGTTACTAAAAATAGAAATTTCTGTGAAATTCCTTAGAAACACCTCTCCTCCTTCAGTTTTGGTTTGATTTTAATATAACTTTGCATACAAGTAGACTACACACACTAGGATACATAATTTAGTGCATATGTTTTTGATTTCGATGAACGGTGTTGCCATGGTTGCTAAAAATAGAAATTTCTGTGAAATCCCTTTAAAACGTTACTCCTCCTACAGTTTTGGTCTGATTTCAATCTAATTTGGCACACAATTAGAGTACACCTTGATACATAATATGTATTTCGGTTTTTGATTTCAGTGAATGGTGTTTTCATGGTTACTAAAAATAGAAATGCTACTCCTCCTACAGTTTTCGTTTGATTTCAATATAACTTGGCACAGAAGTAGACTACATAAGATACATAATTCTATTTACTAATACAAGTTGCAAAGTTTCAAATCCAAGTGCTACTTTTTTTATACGTACAGACCAGTAGAGCTACAGTCTCATCAGAGACTTATGGTTTAAAAATGTCAACAAAGTAAAAAAGAATACAGCAGCAAAAAAAAAAAAAAAAAAAGAAAAAAAGGAATTTATGAGTACAACTCTGGTCTAGTGACTTAATGGTAGAGAAACATGGATCTAAATACCACAAAAAACTTTATAAACATATTATCGAAATACGATTTTGAAGACTTGCATTGTACGAGGGTTGTTCGAAAAGTTCGTGGACAATGTCAATTCTCGTTATACTACTTTCAAGAAATTTAATGTAAGCACATTATCATATGTAAAAATATTTATTATGTTGATGTGTGAAGTTTCATTCCATTCAATTTAATAGAAATCAATTTACTTTATTTTAAATCAACATGTTTAATAACCCCGGAGCAAACTAAACACCATTATAACGTCAAAAATATATTGTCACGAGGTTCTCAAAATATTCTCCCTATACATTTCACACAGTCTGGTCCAATATCTGCTCATTTAAAACGTGTCTCTATCAATTGAAATTCATTTAGTTAACAATTGTTCCAGTAGCATAATTTCAAAATTGAATCTTGAACTGCTGCTCCGTGACGTTCTTCGACGTCACATTTATTGCCTTTTTCAATGAGGACTACCTATCTTCAGAAATTGATTTCTTTTCCATGAAGCAAACTATCAAGTCATAATTTGGAATATGAAACGATGTAACAATTCTTAATTTTATCGTCTAGATTTTTTTTGAGCCATATTACAAAGGATATGACTACAGACATTAATTAGTGTATTGTTTGTAAATTACTTAATTTTGACTTGCTCCGCAAACCAATTTCCCAGTTTTTAAACTACTAATTAGTTTGAAATAAATCAAGATATTTTAAAAATTTTAATACAAACCATTTGAATTTATTGTTGAAATATTTCTACCAAATTTGGATATAATATGGCGTTAAATAAAAAAAGATATGACAGAAGTCCACGAACTTTCCGAACAACCCTCGTATGATTTAGTATAAGATCGGAGGTGATAAAAGAATTAAAAAGACTTCATGAACAATATGTTTTGGTTCCAAGGCTTGTAACAATGTCGTCTTTGTTAGTAAGGTTCATTATTATAACTGTATGTTAGGAGATCTTGGTTTTAACTCCACGTCTGGAAATCCAACTTATACTCGCAGCTCACTTTCTAAAGATGTAATCCTTCAAAATCACATTTCAGTATTTAATACTTTTAATATTCAAGTCAACCAAGATGGGTTCGATCATTCTGTGGATTCTCAAAAAAACTCCATAGAACTTTTAGAAATTTAAAATCGCCAATTTTTTCAAAATTCAGTAACATCAAGACGTACGACTTTTCTACACTTTATACAACAATTCCTCATGATAAATTAAAAACTAAGCTTTTTGATATTATATAGGCAACTGCATCTTCAATAATAATGGAAGTCGAAAATTTTCGTATCTCTGTTATATCTGTTATTGGTCATAAAAAAATTACTTTGTTAAAAACTACTCTGATTCTACACATAAGGATGCTCTAAACACTGCACACTAAAGAGTACTCTTGTAGGGTAGTTTTATGCAGTTAGAGTGATCTGCCCTTAGAAGTAAAATAGAAATAAATAGTTATTTATACAGTCAACCACACAATTTGTAATAGATTGAAATATTTTTAGCATTATATTAGACCAAGAATAAGTAATTGGATTCATAATTTCCATTGATTTTCCCAGTTAAGTAAACAAGAGTGATTTCTGTTCACGAATTGTCCATTGTCATTAAACATTTTTCCTGTGTGAATAAGGCAGGTACCCTATATTGAAAATAAATTAAATAGTCTCAATATGGATACCTTTATATGATATATTTTTCGCCAAGTCCAAAAAGCACTTTATGTTAGTGTTTAGAGCTTCCATAAGTACTCTGAAGTTGATCTGAAAATGATGCTGGAGTTCCTCATTGACAACATTTATGTAGTCTTCAGAGGCCAGGTCTTCCAACAAACTGTTGGTCACTAATTGTGCTCCTTTATTAGCCTACCTGTTTTAATATTCCTATGAATAAGACTTTATTCAAAAAGTTTTACATGAGAAAAAACACTTGCTTTGGCCTTTAACTCGACATTTAGATAAATCATCTTATCAATAAACAATACATACTTTCATTCATATGTCGACTATATATATCTCAGTGAACTTTGATATAAAAGACACCACAAGATCTTAAACATCTGTTTCATATTTGGATGTTTTACTAACTATAGATGATAAAGGCAAACTAACAACTAAATTGTATGACAAACAAGATGACAAGCTTTTCCGTCGTCAACTTTCCTTATTTGTGAAGTAATATCATACTATCACCTGCATGAGGTGTTAACATCTCCTAACTTATTCGATACTCACGAGCATGCACCGAGTACAATCAATTTTTTAACCGAGGCAGGCTACTGACAGATAAGTTGATGTTACAGAGATTTCAATAAACTCATTTAAAGTCAGCATTTCGTAAATTCTATGGTCGTTATGATGACCTTGTTAGCAAATACAACCTGTCATTGGGCCGTATGTTGGCTCTCTTGTTTCATGCCAATTGTTATGCCTTTGGTTTTATTACTAAATTTGACTACGGAAGGTTCCTGCTACCTGATCTATACATAGAGCTCACGGTCAACAGGGGATGCTTACTCCTCCTAGGCACCTGATCCCACCTCTGAAATTTCCTGGGATTCGTATTTTATTCCCTGCTTGATTTTTAGCTCTACTGGTCAGAGACCAGAAGAGCTTATGCGATAGTAAGGTGTCCGTCGTCCGTCCGTCTGTCTGTCTGTCTGTCTGTCTGTCCGTCTGTCTGTAAACAATTTTTCAAAACGCTACTCCTCCTACAGTTTTGGTCCGATTTCAATATAACTTGGAACACAAGTAGACTACACTAAGATACATAATTTAGTGCATCGGTTTTTGATTTTGATGGACGGTGTTGCCATGGTTACTAAAAATAGAAATTTCTGTGAAATTCCTTTAAAACGCTACTCCTCCTACAGTTTTGGTCCGATTTCAATATAACTTGGCACACAAGTAGACTACACTAAGATACATAATTTAGTGCATCGGTTTTTGATTTCGATGGACGGTGTTGCCATGGTTACTAAAAATAGAAATTTCTGTGAAATTCCTTTAAAACGCTACTCCTCCTACAGTTTTGGTCCGATTTCAATCTAACTTGGCACACAAGTAGACTACACTAAGATACATAATTTAGTGCATCGGTTTTTGATTTCGATGGACGGTGTTGTCATGGTTACTAAAAATAGAAATTTCTGTGAAATTCCTTTAAAACGCTACTCCTCCTACAGTTTTAGTCCGATTTCAGTATAACTAGGCACACAAGTAGACTACACTAAGATACATAATTTAGTGCATCGGTTTCTGATTTCGATGGACAGTGTTGCCATGGTTACTAAAAATAGAAATTTCTGTGAAATTCCTTTAAAACGCTACTCCTCCTACAGTTTTGGTCCGATTTCAGTATAACTTGGCACACAAGTAGACTACACTAAGATACATAATTTAGTGCATCGGTTTTTGATTTCGATGGACGGTGTTGCCATGGTTACTAAAAATAGAAATTTCTGTGAAATTCCTTTAAAACACTACTCCTGCTACAGTTTTAGTCCGATTTCAATG